TAAATTATAAAATACATACAGACAAGCACGAACAAATTAAAATGGTGTTAAAATTTATGTGTATATGAGGACAGAACGACGAAAACTTCAGAGTTATTTTAGAACATTCAGGATTCGATTAGAATTCTTTTGAACTAATTTAGAACACTTTGAAGTTTCAATAGGGCTCTAAAATACTTGAAAATCTGTCAGAAAAATTTAGGAATTATTCAAAAACTTCCAGAACACTCGGAACTCTTCAAGCCAAGTTAGAACACTTTAGAACTACAATAAGCCATTTAGAACGTTCTAAAATACTTTCCACCAGCATTTTGAAGGAAAGAACAATTTAAAAACCTCAGAATTATGTCAGAGAGTCTAGCGCCTGGAATAGGCAAAAATTGAAAGTTATAAAATGAGTAATAATTAATAAGGAAATATTATCAAGAAAATGTTTCTCTTTCAATTCAAATCTTGAATTTTTATAATTTTTCCTTATTTCAAGCTCTCAATTTTTCCTTATTTCTTCAGACTTTCAATCCTATACCAAAAAATAGTCTCGAAATCAATGTTTTCAAAAATTATTCGTATTTGTATGTATCAATAATTAAGGCTTCTATTAAGTACCAGGAACAACTAAATTTGTGTTTCCTAAAAATCCCAAATTGTTTAGTTTTTAATGTCTGCATTGATGGCATAGAAAAAACTGAACTTCAATCCTTCATATCAAACTTAATCCAGCCAATTTCCATTCAAAATTTTTTCTACTTTTTGTTATATGTGTGCCATTTTCATATTTTCCGCTTATTCCACCAACGGAAAACAAAAAACACAAATTTGAAAAACCTCTCGACTATAGCGAATGATGGAAAGAGGGCTTATCGAAAATCAAAAAGCAAAAATGAGGTAATAGTAACAGCCTTCCACTCTCTAATGAAAACCATTGAATCGAATTTATCATACACATTTATGTGACAGGCCTTTTTTGCCTTTGTCTCATAGGTATTTTTCCTCTGTTTATATTCCTTTTTGATGTTTGTTATTCTGGTTTTCTCCACGGTTTTGTGGGTAGATACAAAAAATATGACGATTCAATTCAGTATTTGGTTTTTACCAGTTAATTAAGTTAATTCATAGTTATTATATGTTTTTGTAGTACATTATATAAGAATATAATCAAAAAGCTTTTAGGAAATATTATGCGATAGGTATTTTGATTTCCGCCTCAGAAAAACATTTGGAAGCTTCGATACGGCTCCGAATCTTACCAATTAATTAATACTCCGTATGAAAGAGTCAATACAGAAACATAGGGCAACAAAGTTGGAATTTTCCGCACATAAAATAATCTTTTGTAGAATTCATCAACATTCGGAACTCAAACTATTTTTAGGTTTTTTAGGTGCAAAAGTGGAAATTAATTGGCTCCAGTATAATGAACACAGGACAATGTTTAATGAGTTTTCACGGAATTTTTCCGGAAATTGGATAGAAAATTCGATAACAAAAATGTATTTTTGTAGGTAGGTACTTTTAATGGCATTTTTAATGTATTTTCATGTGGATGACCCTCTGGGGCCACAACAATATTGGATTCTATCTATAGGTTTAGGTACTATAGGTAGGTAAATCATAAATAGAAATTACTTATTACCTTAAAATATAAACTCTACAATAACTCAGCATAAAATCTATAAATAATTAATAAAAATGCCAAATATAGCTTATATACATATTACCATATTAAATAAAAATTAACAATTTTATAATCGAATAGCCTAGCCTACCTACTTATTTGACTGTGATTTTGCAAAGGCAAAAAAAATCGTAACCTGTATGATGCATTATAATTTGTTTCGTAATTTAAGTGATGCAACCGTTTAGAATTTATTGCTACATTGTCTTGTGGGCAAATAGGCTGTTTTACACTTACTTACGTGCAATTTGCCATAGGTATTACCATGCAATGACAGTAGTACAATGTAAATTGCAATGATAATACTAGATATCGCAATAGGAAAAATAGAACAAATTCACATTGTCATTCATTACAAAAATTAAATATACTTAGGTTAGGGACTTTTATACGTGTTTAAAAAGATTACTTTCCTCATGACCATTTTTCATATACTGAAGACTACAGCATTTTTACCATTTAAACCCTCTTTTATCTCAAATATATTGGAGAAGGTCCATAGTAATTTATCTATATACAAAGATTTCAAGAATTGACGAGATAATGCCATTAATTCGAATTCATAGACAATAAACAAGTTGAGGGCGACGAATTTTGGGTCAATTATGCATTTAGATTTTGAAACAAATATATGATGAGACCGTGAAGGACGGGACGTGAGGAGCAGCGCCGGTTCGAGGCTCTACCGGGCCCTAGGCGGCAGATGGTATGGGGCCTTAGACCAAAGTAACGTATTACTATTTTGAAATTGAAAAAAAAAGCCTTCCCCAAAATGCTGCTGGAAAGTGTTTTGGAACGTTCCACATGGCTTTTTGAAGCTCTAAAGTGTTCTAACTTGGCTTGAAGAGTTCTGGAGCATTCTAGAAGTTTTTCAGTAATTTCCAAATTGCTCTGACAGATTTTTAAGTATTTTAGAGCTCTATTGAAGCTCCAAAAAGTTCTGAATTGCATCAAAAAAGTTCTAAAAGGTTTCCAGTTTTAAATTAGGATTCAATTTAGAACTTTAAAATTGTTCTGAAATAACTCTGAAGTTTCTTTATTGCTCCAAAATGCTCCTGAAAATTCTGATTTAGATTTGAAGTGTTTTAAATGCCTAAAGTTCTACAGCAATCTAAATTTGCTCTTAAAAGCCTTCTGAAAGGCGTTTTGTAACTTTTAATCTGAATCCTAAGATTCTAGCGCTTTTCTAAATGTTTCTGGGGATCCTAGAGGGTCTGAGTTTGAGTGTTTTGGAGCGTCCTAAAATGAGTTTCAAACTTCTGAGTTGTTCTAAAATGCTTTTGGAAATCGGTGTTTTGTTTTGAGGCATTCTAAAATGGTTCTGAAATTTCCAAAATTTTCTGAAGCTCTACAGAATGCTTTTGGAAATTCTAAATTTAATTTTAAATGTTTTGAACTTTCCAAAAGGCCTATTGAAGTTCTAAAGTGTTCTGTAGCATTTTAAATGGTTTCCAGTAACTTTTAAATTAAATGAGAAACGAATTCTGTGGGAAATTTTTCTTAAATACGTCCCTTCTCAATACATAATTTATTCACTTTCAGTCTTGAAGAAGAAAAAGATATGAATTTACGTCATTTTATATGGACATCTTCAAAACAACGTCTTCTAGGCATTTTTTTTTTGGTCTTCAGACGTTCAGACGTAATGCAAACCCTAGAAAAGTCGTCTTCAAGACTGTGCTGTCTGGGTAGTGGAACATCTCGTATCTATTGCCTATGTTTCGATATCAACTGTCGTCTGTCAGTACTGAGTTTACTGGACGCCTTTCCGATATTATTTTCAGTACACTGGATTCAGTCGATTCAGTACTAAAATGGCCACATGAGTACGCTGTTGAAATCGGAACGGCAAATGACAGTAAAATCAGCACAGATCCAGTACTGGCAGTTGATATCGGAACATGGCCATCTATTACTCGTTTAGGGGCGGCTTCTCATGAGCGTAATTTGATATTTATGCGGCGTGACAGCGTACCTGAATGCATAATTCTGATTGGCCAAAATCCCGGCATATTGGATACGCTGACACTCTGCCGCAGATACGCCAAAAGTTGAGCAAAGTTCAACTTTCGCGTAGAAATTCAGTATTTTTAGAGGTTAAGATTGCAACCGTTTCATTTCCTTGATTTTTGTAATTTACCTACTGTCCATATATTTGTAACTATTTGGAAATAAAGCACAAACAAATACAAATTTGTACAATCAAAGAAATATTTCAAAATTTAGAAAAATATTATAATTTTGACATACGCGAGCGGCGTAAATTCACTACTCCATGTGAATGTTGCACCAAAATTCACGTATTCAGCATTTCCGCCATAGTTATGTAAGTTATGTCATGTTTACGCTCATGAGAAGCCGGCCTAACGGATGTTCATCAGCAACATGACATAAGGTTGGGTGGACTCATAGACAATAAAAAATAAAAAGACCTTCAAAAGTATAGCCGAAATAGGTTATACTACAGTGACTAAATAACCTACAGTGGCGACAATTGCTGTCCTATTTTTGATTGGTTTCCCAGGCTGCCGCCATTTTGTTCCCGAGTTGATTTGTTTACGTTTTTCGTTTGCCCGTGTTTCCTATGTATTTTTTTATTTTCGTGTTGAATTTTAAGGATTTTTGTGTAATATATGGTTGAAAAAAACTAAAATAATTGGATTGGATAATTTATTATACATTCCATAATTATTTATTGTAAATTTTTTAAATTTATAATATAGTGAGTATTGTGCCCCTTGCCTGATACAGACTTCTATTTATACTGGTAAATATTACATTTATGTCCTATTTAATAATTTATGCATGAAAAATTAAACCATGTGTGCTGTGTGCTTCTGCCTAAGAATTTTCTACAAAGTCAATTCACAGATTATTTTCAAATTTTGAAGGATTATTTGTATTATTCAGAATAGATGATGAAAATTAGGTAATAAACTACTATTACTGTGACAACAATGCCTCAATTATCATAAATTTATCGTTTTCTGATTTTTTTTAAGGTTTTCTAGCGTGTACCCTGTTCATTTTTGAAATGACTCTTTGTGCTGCAATAAATTGCACAAATTCTGGAGAGCAGGGATTTTTAATGAAACACTTTCCTAGAGATCCACTCAGAAGACAAACTTGGCTTATTGATATGAAGAGAAGCTATTGGAAACCAACTGACTATTCCTGTTTATGTGAAGTAAAACTAACTAGAACTTTTTAAACATTTTTTTTGTTGTTGAATTTTTCACTTGTGTTCAACTGTCTTGAGGGCACACCATGTCTTGTTTTTAGATACTAAAACTGATTTTTATTTAAGGTTCATTTTGCTCCTGAAATGTGGGAAAAGCCTCATGTAGATGGCAAAAGAAAGTTAAAGTCCAGTGCTATTCCTACAATTTTTTCTTTTGTAAAAGGGGAAACTATCAGGAAATCTCCAGTTCAAGGAAAGCCTCTTTCTCCAGAAGAGCCTGAACTTTCATCTGGCAATAACATTGCATGCGTAGTCGGTAACTACCTACCTACAATAAGTTTTTGATAATTTTCTTCTAAATATTTATTTATAAAAAATAAGGATTTTAGTCGGTTTTTTACAGATGAAGCCTTAGTTCCATTACCTTATGTAGAAGGCCTATCTACATCAAGTGCAGATTTGGGAGGTAATTTACCAGCAACACAGAACTCATCCTCATTTTTATCGAACGAAAAGAATAGGGCTCCAGTTCCATCATGATTGCTACCATAAGTTTTTAATACTTAGTTTTCTTCTTAATATTTATTTATTGAAAATAGGGTTTTTTACTTGTTTTTTTACAGATGAAGCTTTAGGTCTATCACCTCCTATAGAAGGCCCTCGAGAAGGCCTATCTACATCAAGTGCAGATTTGGAAGGTAACTTACCAGCAACTCAGAAGTCATCCCCATTTTTTTCGAGTAGAGAAAATAGGACTCCAAATTCACCATTAGGTATTACTCTAATAAGTTTTTGATAATTTTCTTCTTAATATTTCTTTATTAAAAATGTTTTTTACTCAGTTTTTTACAAATGAAGCTTTAGTTATATTACCTTTTGTAGAAGGTCTATCTACATCAAGTGTAGATTTGGAAGGTAATTTACCAGCAACTCAGAAGTCATCCTCAATTTTTTCAAATGAAGAAAATAGGGATCCAGTTTCATCATTATTGCTGGAAATAACCAAGGGCAAAGACATAATAACCGAACTGCAAGCAAAATTAAACAGATACGAGACATTGTATGTTAGGGAGAGAAACAAGGCCGTAAGATACAAAAAGCTTCTAAGGCAAGCAAGAAATAAATTGAAGGTAGTACAAAAAACAGTAGATTTTCCACAATGTGATGAATTGTTTAAGCGGTTATTCAACAATGATCAGATAACAGCCTTGAAAAAGAAAAAAAGGAAAAAAACTACAAAACTGATGAAGTGGACTAATGACACTGTGACAAAGTCTTTGAAACTAAAATTTAGTTGTGGTATATAACTCTATAATTAGAGGAAGGATGATGCACAGCTTGATGAGGTTTTCAAGCAGAATATGTTTACATTGTGTCCATGGATAAACTTTAGATACTTACTGGGAAAAAAAGTATTTTCAATTTTTTGAAAAAAAGTAGTTCTTCATAATTTCTTTTGCTTGTTATATAAATGTATTCACGTTTTTTTATACAGTGAGCACAAAATATAAAAATATGTAAGTTCAAAATAAAAGAACTTCGGATGAGGGATAGAGAGGTTCATATAAAATAAATTTTACTGTATCACATTCCCATGTCTCAAGTTAGTTAAATAAATTAAGTAAGTATTTATTGTATGTATTGATTTTTTAACAGAGTTCAATTTTTCACCTATTATCGACACTTGAAATTTAGGATTGCCTCCAGCATCAACACAGTAAGACCTTTTCATGGACATACGGTTTTTTAAAGTTGTTTTTAATTTAAATATTGAGTAATTTTGGAAAAACCATCTTTTAATTTTGATTTCTGAGACAGAAGCACTTGGATTGGTTAAGTTTTTCAAGATTCTTGCAGATATTTTTGGATTTCTTCTCATAAACCCCTCGTACCAAACCAATGCCTTCGAGGTCTTCCGGCTTTAAAATGATGGGCTTTTTTCAACCACTTCACAAGCATTTCCACACTGTCTAGTTGATCCTTAATGACTGGAAATCCACAACCAGCCAGGGATAATATCCATTCAATCAATGCATTTTCATCTTGTTTACTGAGGACTGTTAATATTCCTATTTGCCTAGGAAAACTTTACGAGACCGAAATGCGGACATTTTTCCCGATTGCACTGCTTACTGCCTGATTCATCGCCTCTTCGAAGTATTGTGAGTGAGCTTTTGAAGCTGAAAGAATTATTTTAATTAATCCTATCATCGACATTAAAATGTACATAATCAAAATAAGAATTTTAATAACCACACTTTTTAAATGGTTTGTAAAATATGGTGTCGATAACTGTATTTACGAAAATTTTTACATAATATTATCTAGGGGCGTTTACCTTACGCCGTTTTCAATTTTTTTTGCTGGCTGTTCTATTAAATTATTAAAAATCCTATAAATAATACTTAAAAATAACAAAAGGTTGGGAACAAGATGGCGGCGGGACCTCTATTGTCGCCACTGTATGTTATCTAGCCACTGTAGGTTATACTATTACTGCGCATCCGGTTGCGCATAGCGCATTGCGGAATTTTTGGAAAGCTAGAGACAAACGAAAGATCAGTCCGATCATTCGATTCTGTTTCATCTTTCTCTGTCATACCAATTCACAAGACAAGGGCACCGTATGAGTTACAGAGCTTTCCTAGCTGTTTTGTAGAAACCTATCAAGCATCCATAACTATAGAAACTGTGACCGAGAAAACAAATAAGTAATCTTAAAATAACGACATTTCCGTGTTGAAATCTGTCATTTTTAACCGATTGGGCGGTCGTCTAAGAAGACTCGAACTCACAAAATCTAAAGAACAAGAAGAAGAAATTGTTATTTTTATTAAGGCACTCGGTATCGCGTACCTATAATATTATGTACAACTAGGATAAACTGAACCAGTAAGTATACATGTTAGTTTTGTGATATACGGCATATTTTTTTACTGTTTTAGGAGACCTCAGTCAGAAGAGATAAAATGTAGATGTTAGGCCTTGGCCAGCTTAGCTTGTACATACATTAAAGCATGTATAAGGGATGTAATAACTGTGTTTGTAAACTCTTTAGGTATTTGACCTATCTAGCTATAATTTATATTTTTTCTAGTACAATTTTAGTGTTTATTTTGCCTTTTTTTTTCAATCTACATCAAAAAATGGCACAAAACTTTATGGAGTACCACATCATTTTTCTCATTCGGATTTGAGAAAAAAAGATGTGGAACAACATAAGTAAGTTTTTTGTGCAATCAACTCAAGTCAAATTTCAAAATTCCCGCCATTTCAGTATTTGTTCCGGCTGCCACTATTGACGCCACCGTCGCTGTGACGTCAGCGCTATACAAACTTTCATGTTATCAATCAGGTACTCTTACCTTGGTTTATTATATTTCTCTATGGGTGGACTCTACCTGAGTTGGTAATCCCACAGCTACGGAACAGTGTTGCCGATAGTGTGCGTAATTCGGGTGGTGTGGTGCGTGGTGCGTCTCAGGGCGCGCAAGGTTGCCAAAATAAGATATTTGATTTCAGAGGGCATATCGGGCCCCATTGTGCGTCCGGGCCCTAGGCGGCCGCCTAGTCCGCCTAATGGTTAAACCGGCGCTGGTGAGGAGGAAATTTGGTCGTCGGGTTTTTCTTCCAGAGACGATCTGCTCTACAAATATCATGATCCCAGACAGCACAGACACATGTTAAAAACGCCCCTAAGATGTCTACATACGACATTCCAGACGTCGTATGTTACCAAATCTAGAGGTGTAAAAACAAATAAAAAGTCTGAAATTTTAAAATACGGGAATAATGAGAATTCGAGAACTTTGAATGAAAAAATTCAAGAGCCAAAAGAAGATGTAGCAGACGTTGTGAGAAGTTGCAATCCTGTAACAGAATGTGCCTTTTTGTTGAAAGAATCAATGTTAGCTAGACTTTGACCTCACCGATAAATTTGGTGATGCTCCAGATCTTCTTAGCTCTTGGAGTAAAAGTAAAATACCTCATGTTGTCATACAATTTTTCAGTACCTTATTTGATATATATCCAAACTCCATGGAGGAGGAAGATATCAATGACATAGAAGTGGATGAACATTTGAACAATAGGAAGAATTCACAGAAGTGGCGTCTTAAGGCACAATCGTTAGTACAAATAATGTAGGTACTACAACATGTATCGAGGAAATACAAAAACACCGTTGCATGATGATAGGAGAATCAGTACATGAAAAATGTAAAAGCAAACATTGATAACAAGTTTGAATCATGTAGGTGTGTCAGCTACAACTAAGTGATCCGTCACCATCATAACCTTGCACGATATACTCTTAAGCAGGCGCCTCATGATGTGCCTATTCCCAGTCATTTCAAGACTGATTAATTTACGATTGGAGCCTTCGATAACTTTTACCACGAAGAATCTACCTCATCTGGAATAGGAGGCTCTCATGACATCGTGCGTGTACTCTTTTAAGACAAACCACTGGATATACCAGTTAAATCACGCTTATCGAAGATTGGTGTCACACCAGGTTTGAAGGCAATTCAAGAGCTTCTTTCGTGCAAAAAGGTACAATCCTATTTCAAACCAGCGAAACATCCGGATCTTCCAAGCAATTACGTAGTTAACTCAGCAATGGACGAGGATGAAAAGAAGAAATACGAAAATTTATACATATTATGGCATTTTTCAAGAATTGCACGAACTTTGTTACACAGTTTTGATTTTGCTACAGATTACGCCCTTCCCACTCCAGAAGAATACCTAGAACAGCTTGTGCCATCGTGGAGTGCTTTCAATGCACTTTGTTCGGGAGAAGATCTACAGCAGAAACAAGTTGGTTTTCTACCAGTCATTCCAAACCCAGTTACTCAGTATGCGACTGTCTACACGGCTTTATTGAATTTTAATAGTATCCTCAATCAACTGAACCAAAACTACCTACCAGTAGCTTGTGACGAAGGTGTATACCGCTATTGCACGCGAAGTTCAGCTAAACAATCCAGATAAGTTTTCAAATATTGTACTGTTATTGGGAGCATTCCATATGGCTAAAATTGTACTAGGTTGCTTAGGTAAATATCTTCGTGGAAGTGGAATATCCAATGTCCTTATTGAATGCCCAGTGTTCGGAGTAAATTTGGTAGACTTAAACCGAGTCTATGGGAAGAATTATGTGAAAGAAGTGAAAGAAATGCTTATGATGGGAGAAACCATGTTAAGGTTGCAGGTAAAGTCATTTTTGAGAGAACATTCCATTGAGTCCTATACGCACTAAATTTGAAAAGTTACTTCACATCCGGCAAAGTATTTTTCTGGCATGGGAGAGAAAATCAAACCATATAGATATAGATGTCAATGCGGAAAAACTTCTCACAGACTTTGAGAAATTTATTGAATGTGGAAGGCAAACATCAGAGCAATTTTTATACTGGGACAATTTTCTGAAACTACTTCAATTTCTTAGAAATTTGATTCGTTCCGAAAGACACGTCTGAACACGAGAACTGCATCTAGATACAGTACAAAAACTTCAACCAGTATTTGTCGTCTTTGACTGTATCAACTATCAGAGATGGTCTTCTTTATATTTGAAAGACATGAGAAGAATAGTCCAGATAGCCCCGAAGGTGCATCAAATGTTTATGAAGGGGAAGCATGTTATTAAACGGTTTGACCATAAATTTTCAGCTGTCGCTGCAGATATGGCATTAGAGCAAACCATTAATAAATCCCAAAAGAGCTCATCTGGCATTGTAGGGCGTACTAAACAGAAACAATTTGTTGCAGAATGGGAGATAACACATCATGAGCGTTTGATAATATCGAATCTATTTCGAGAAATAACAGACTCCATTGCTTTCGTCCAAGGTTTAAGCATCCACCATGAGTTTTCTTAAAAGCAAACATAGAGCTCAGATGCAAAGGTGACCTCAATGTTTAAATATATTGCAGAAAAAGGTACCTAACCAATTTGATATGCTATCTAATCCATTACACAATTTGGAAGAATTATTGAAAATATTTGAAATCGGTGAAAAATTTTATTGCGCACTGCGCAAAACACGATACGAAGACAAAATAATCAGGATCTCAACTACACAAAGACATGCTATACCAGCATTTGATAGCATTAAAACACCAAGTGCAAAGGCTTCCGAAAAACTTATCAAAAAGACGTCTAGTTCATCTCACCGCATGATACAAATAACTCAAGCTCGTGCATATGATATGCGAGAGCTTTTCCGGTATGAATTATTTGATAACTGCTTATTGTTTAATGAACAGGGGTTAATGACAAAACCACAAAAAAGTGCATTGGTGAAACTGTTAGAAACATCGTATGTGAGCACTGACAGCTACAACTTATTCAAATCTGATGACACAACTTGTTACTGTACTGTACACTGTAATGAATTCTTTACGAAAAGTTACTCTAAATAAAAAGAAAACTTTTGGCGCGGCGGTTTCTGCTTTACCCTCATACATCATAAGGGCCACCACAAAGAATTATGGAGTCCATTATGCTTTTGACAGTTATCACACACTATCACCAAGAAAGTCTGAGCGAGTGCAGAGACAAGGTACCGACATTGTTATAGATATTGCCCACATATATGAATATCTTCTATTATCTGTCCAACTCAGCAGCTTTCGGGGATCATCAAAGAACAAACTGAACTTGCAGATGTTCATTGCTAATACCTTAATAGCTTCTTTGACTGGAACACCAAGTTGTACCAACCACATCTTTAGTGCTTTTTATGGTGATGAAAGAAGATGAGGTATCATTCAGCTGTACATGTGTGCATAGTGGAATGAATGCAAACCACCCACAATTAAATTGCTTGTCAGTAGAGGAGCCAGACTTTAGAATGCTGATTCATTCAAAACATGCATCCTTGTGTAGATTTACCAAAATCGTTCTCGTTAGTGCTCACGCTCACACTGACATAATGGTGTTAGCTTTGTTTCACTGGGCTACTCTTCATCAACTTGGTGTTCTGGAACTTTGGGTGCGCACTGGAGTTGGTGAATCTACGCGACTTTTACCTGTTCATCATATTCATCAAAAAATGGGTCAAAACTTATGCTCCTTGCTTCCAGCCATCCACGCACTATCTGGGTCAGATTATAAGAGTAAGTTTGGAACCAAAAAAGCAACCCTTCATATTGCATCCCCTGCATAATATCTGGGACACGTTGGCATATCATCTGATTGGGCTCACTGCTCACATAGAACAAAGCTTTATGTCTGGAGAAACATACTTGTTGCAGTTACTGGAAAGGGTCGTCTTGTAAATCTTTAGATGAATTTAGATTGTGGATGTATCATCCTGCAAAGAATATAGATATTCAAGATTTGCCGCCTACAAGCAGAAGTGCCAAGGGCCATTTGTTAAGATCCTTTTTCTGCACATATCTTCAACAACACTGTATTGATGATGTGTTTGTTGCCTTAGATCCATGTCCATTTGTATTTGTCGTAACAGACAGAATTGGTGTCAGAAAAAAAATTAACAAAAATACCCTACTAAATGGCTTTCAAAATTCTGAATTGTTCTCAAATGCTTTTGGAAATTGTAAATCGGTTTTTGAGTATTTTGGAGCATTCTAAAATGGTTCTGAAGTTTCCAAATTGTTCTGAAGCATTACAGAAGGCTTTTGTTTGGAGATTTTGAATTAAATTTCAAGTGTTTTGAACTTTCCAAAAGACTTATTATATAAAGTTCTAAGGTGTTCTGTAGCATTTTAAATGGTTTCTAGTAGGTAAGTTTTTGTAAATTTAAGACGTTTTTTAGACGTCTGCTTGCGTGTTTGAGGCATTTTAAAGACGTCGCATGTTGCCAAACCCAACGTCTTTCAAACGTCTGCCTAAAAACGTTTTTATGACATTCGAAAGACTTTTTCAACGAGGTGTCTTAAAGAGGTCTTTGAATTTATTTTTAATACATCAACCAAAACCAGTATTCACTTTCAGACTTGGTTGTAACAAATAGTGTGGCTCAGTTGTCTTTAAGATGTGAATTTACGACATCTTATGGACGTCTTTTTGGTCTTCAGACGTTCAGACGCAATGCAGACTTAAAAAAGACGTCTCCGTCTTTAATAACTGAATTAACTTAAACAAAGACAATCAAAATGCCCAAATTTCTTGTAGAAAATTACTGTGCTGGATGTCATTTGGTGAACTCAGGTTTATTCTGGGATCAGATGAATGGAATCCATCCATATATGTATGACTTCAACAAGAATATCTCAACATATCCAGAAGTAATACTGATGGTACAATGGAAAAGATCATATTGATCTGAGTGACTCTGCGATCAGAAAGTTCATCGGACTTCAGGCATATTTTATCCCAAAGAAAAAATTCTCCAAAAAACATTGTCAAAAGTCTCTTTTTTGAGAGGGCGCGTAACCCCTAGCGTCGAATTACGGTTTCGCTCGCCTTCGCGGCGACATTCGATAAAGTTTTTAGTCGATGCTCGGTATTCGTACGGTTAGGTTGCTGCAGTGTCCTGGCCTTAGATAACGATTATGTAGTCGCTATACGCTATACGACGTGCGTAACATAACCTTACACTCTGGCCTAGTGTTTACATGTAATAACCGATTTTTACAAAACAGTTTACTGGCCACTATGGTGAAAAAACTTGAATGGAAAGTTGCTAGGTTTTTTGTTTTGGTTATTTTCGTTTGTTTTTCGGACTTTCCTGAGGTTTTCGGACACAAGAATTGCCAACACGCTTATCCTAAACATCATGAGGTACCTATGTTAATTTTTAATATTGTTTCTATGTAAATAATATGTACAAGAATTCAAAAATATAAAATACAGTTTGTATATCTAGGTAGTTAATGGGTATTTTTTATTTGAGTTTTATTTATTTTTTTGTTTAACTTTTAAATTGGCGGTTTCAATTTTACATTATTATATTTTCGTGTAAACTAGGCAAAATCTGGTTTTCCCATCCTTTTTTTTCACTAGCACCACTGGACTGTTATTATTATTATTATTATCATTGTAACTATTACAAGTATATTTAGGATTCACTGTAAATGGATATCTTTTAAAAATATGAACTGTAATAAAAAGTAGGTACATCGCATCAATGAAGGATAACAGAAAAAAAATCAGATTTTGTTTTGTTTTTATAGGTATACCTACTTTATTGTTTAAAGTCGTCTAAAATTTAAAATACCTACAAATCAATAGTCTGAGTCAAAGAATAAAAATCACAAAATAAAAGTCAACATGTAAAGAATATAGGCCGGAGTTACCTAATTCCTTAATTCTTAATATTTGTCCTAATTCTTAATTCTTAAAAAGTTCAATTTATTTACCATTGGTGTTTTTGAAGATGAATTAACTCGTGAATTAAGAACAAAAATTAAGAATTGAGGAATTGGGTAACCCCGGCCGTACCTAAATTAGAACATAAAAAAATATATGAAAAACTGAAAATTTACAATAAAAGAGCGACTGCTAAGAGAAAGAACTGTCAAAATACGTAAGAAATTAAGGCCGGGGTTATCCATCAATTCCTTAATTCTTAATTTTCGTTCTTAATTCTTAATCCTTAAAAACCCCAATGTTAAATAAATTGAACTTTTTAAGAATTAAGAATTAAGGACAAATATTAAGAATTAAGGAATTGGGTAACTCGGGCCTAAGTCAAATCGTTAAAGAACTCATTCAAACTGCAAAACCCTTTACCCGTCAGAAATTTCTTTACCTGTTATATAGGTACGTAGCCTCCTTTCAGTCAAGTGGCCAGTGCTGACTTTTCTCATCTTTAAAGGTTGTTTATTGAACAATTTTTGTCCTCATATACAGTGTTTTTTACTAACATCGAAACATAGGCGTTTTAGGGTATTTAAACATCGATTAAAAAAAAAAACGCATGGTCACGTCATTTTTGTATTAGGGGGGAACCAAGGGGGAAACTTTTTGACCCCACTGGTATTTCGCTAGGGTGCACCCCTCGGTGGGGTGATTTTCGCACCTCGTTTTAAGATAGGGAAGATAGGTCGAGTACCTAGTACCTTCTTTTAAAGGTATTTTGATTCTCATCACAACTACGTATTTTTTTTCGAAAATCGAATGATTAGTTCTCAAGATATTATTCACTGTCAAATTGGCCATGGGCTAGACAATCTTCTGGCCCTGTTATTCTCAAATTAACACTTTCCTGACTTTCCTCTCGGGCATGTCAATTTTTATGTTTTGTGTAGGTATTTCTGAAAAAATGAAAATTGACGTGTCCGAGAGGAGTCAGGAAATTGTTAATTTGAGAATAGCAGAGCCAGAAGATTATTTTTTATTTAGCTCATGACAACTTTGACAGTGAATATCTTGAGAACTAAACATTCGATTTTCAAAAAAAAATACGCAGTTGTGACGAGAATCTAAATACTTACCTTTAAAACAAGGTACCACTACCCATCTTCCCTATGTTGAAAGCAGGAGTGAAAGTCACGCCACCCAGGGGATGCACCCTAGCGAAATACCGTAGATGTGGTCAAAAAGTTTCCCCCTTGAATACAAAAATGGCGTGTCCTAGCGTTTTTTTTTTTAATCGACCTTAAAATACCCCAAAACGCCTCTGTTTCGATAATCGGGAAACACCCTGTATAATAGAGCCACGGTTAAGTTCCGAGTGAGGAATAAGCAACCTCAGCACTCAATTTTGGCGCGTTTTCTTTTGACCCCTTAGCTCCAATTCGCGCCTATATTTTCTAAAGACTAAACAGACCGTTTTCAGAATAAAAAGACAACACAAAGTATTGACTTGACGGTACCCTAGAGTGCAATTCTGATAAGCGAAAAGAAAACGCCTTTGGTTATTTTGTTGAATAGATACGGTGGTTTTGTTGCGTTGCGTGGTTTTGTTGCGTCCGTGTCGTTACGGGCCTAGCTTCGTATCCGTATCCGAAAACGTATCTCAATCATTTGACAATATTGAGAGATCTTCCTGTCAGTTATCACTAAAATAATTTTAACAACATAAACACAGTACTTACTTATAGTTAAAAAAAACCTACAAACACAGCTACAAAATCAATACAACACTTTTTGAGGTTAGAAAACGTTTCATCCAAGGATACGATCTTTTATGTAATGTAAGGCCATGCTTAGAAAGACTTTTAGGCGATCAATGTAAGTCGATGCGTTTACAAATACGAATACGTAGAAATATTAAGGGTTTGCTTAAAGTGTCAATTGTCATAGAAGTTGGTTAGTTTTTTACGTTTCTAATAAACACTTGAAGCAGATCCTGAATTTCAAACGTATCCGTATCCGCATCGATCTGCGCATTTTGGGGTGCTCTGAACGAGTTATTCATTTAACTTCTAGTCGTAGCGGTACACGGAAAAACGTTTCAAATCGTGATAGAAGCAAACCGCTTGGTAGAAAGTTTCCTTAAATATAATACTTTAATTTATCAGGAGTGGCGTCATATTCAACATGGCGGATTTTTTCAAAATGGCGCTACTCAAGTTTTTTTTTTATAGGACTAATGGGATTAAAATCAAATAAAAACCAAATTATTACTTTAATGATGTAAAGTAAAAGCACATTTCAAAATAAAATCACAATTTCGGGTGACAAAATGACGGTGTAGCTAAGTTCATGAACATAGAACATAGAAATAATTGGAAGGATAGTAGGTATTCCTAAGGCCGATACTTTTGCTCTCGATTAACGAATTTGACACGTCGGCATCGTTGAATTTAACAAGGTTTTGCATGGGCCGAAGTCTGCATGATGTGGTTAAGTTAGAGCACATTCAAACCCCTGATTATTTTTAACGACTGTCAAATTCGAAAACTGAGAACAAAAGTACCGGCACCTAGTCTTCCGAATTTTCCAAACTCCAAAACAAAATAAGAATGGTTAGGAATTGGTTTTAATTTAAAATGAAAATATTTGAAAGTACTAACTTTTCAGTTATCTTGTTGGTGCACCATGTCTTTGCAGTAAGTGCATTGCAGAGTATACATGGAAGGCCACTTCTTCTGCATTTACAGCTATTAGTGCTTCATCCTATTTTACAAGAGCATCTAGCTAGCTCTTAACAAGTCATCCAAATACTTGAAAGAACAGACCATAGAGGTGTCCACATTGTGCCCTTTTCATGACAGCCCCATGCCAAGGTTTTTTATGACATTTTCCGGAATGGAAGGCAGTGGGCATGAAATCGCTTTAAATGCTTTAGCTATTGCATTATTGCTTTGAGAATTCCATGTTTTTGAGGCACACTTTTTACCTTTGTGAGGAAAGAAATACACTGTATCACACCCTGTAAAAGCATGTAACCCCGGAGGAGCACTAGCCTTATCGCCAAGAATATCTAAGATATGAATTTATTTAAGTTAAGTTATTAATGGTATTTTGTGGATTAGAGGGGAGAGCGACTTGCATGCTATAAGGTGTACTGACAAATATCGTGTCTTTAAACCTGATCTAAAAAGAACCCATAGATTTTGGGTACCAAAAGATTTGAGCCTTGAGTAAAAAGTTATACATAGTACTATCACATCAGTATAAACTGTCCGCATACTACTAGATTCTGAGAGCCTTGCTGCACCGTGTCCTTTAAATGTAATATTATTCTGTCATCTGCTTCCTCTTTATTACTACATTTCAGACCACTGAGTAACGAATTCACGTTTGCTGACGAGTGGATTGTGTCACCTATATTGGTAACATATGGTACCTTGCCTTCTACTGCCATAAAAGATCTTGCTAAAAATTAAAGAGATCAATTTTGATTAATGAGTTTCTTAAAAAATCCAGCTAGTTTTGTAGAAGTCTAGTATAGTATTTGTAATACCCATTTAGAATAATCCCATCCCTATTTATCAATCACGAATCAGATGAAACAAAAAATTACCAACAAAAACGAACGTCGATTGCTAATACGTCAATTTCATGTACAGTTGCGATCAAAAAAAAAGTAGTACAAGAAAAATCTCCAAAATCTCCTGGTCTATTATACATTAATTTAATTCATAACCAAAAATGACATATTTTTGGCATTTTTCGACAAGTTTTTAACCTAGAAAGCTTCAGATGACATTATTTTGACATTTTTCCACCCGCTTTTAACCTAGAATATGTCATTGAGTGTCAAAATTTTGTATATTACACCGAGAGCTCAAATTGGGGTTGATAATTTTTGTACTACTTTTTTCTGATCGCAACTGTACAAATAGGAAATTCCTAACCTAATTTTATTTGTGTGTCAAGAAGCGACATACGTTTTGTCACTAGAACGACTGGTAATTCTAAATAGGTATTAAAAATGCTATAGCACCGGTTACTTGGCGGCGAATGCCATGTCCTCGTTTTTGGCGTACAGCATTTTTAATGCTATTAATTAAATATTGATCCCAAACAAGATCGATGCGCTTAGCTCCCATTTTTGCGGCATCTTTTTCAATTTAAGGTTTTAGCTCTAATTCAAAATATTCTTGAAATGTTTTGCTATTACGAGGAGCAATAAAATGGACAAGAGCTGCTCCGTCGTAAACAATACCATCACATAATTTTGGATCAGTACCGTTAGCAGACAGATCATACCTTCAAAAATATTGGTGAGGTCACTTTTTTGGCGACGTCGTAATCCTCTGTTTTGAGATAGAGATGGTGGGCATTCCTGGTTTTCATACTGAAAGAATGCATTTAAATCCAAGTCACGGAAAAGACTCGCAATGAATAGTCTGGAAAATAGCTGGTATTCCAGTTTGAGTGACTGAATT